CTTTAACGACTATAGTTTGTACAAACAAACAAGGACGAATGCAGTGCGAAATAAATTCAGCTGCATCTTGACTACGGCTCATGCATAGAACGCAACAGATAACTGGCCTGTATAGGTATACCGCTCATGCTATTGCTACTTCGCTTAATTGCTTGTAATCACTCGTCTCTGATTAATATGCTAATTCCAATGAATGCAGCTGTTCTTCAGCTACGCTCACACTCTTTCTTTCTCACACACATACTGATTGGATCCTTATACAAAGACTCCCTCATTAGCGGATCCATTGCTGTTAGTTAAAAGTAGGTTAAGAGAGAGTTTTGCCTATAAAAGTGTGTGTCTGGGGGGATTTGTTTGTGGCGGATTTTATGTTGATTTGTTTTTTGAGGACTGTATATTATAGACGTCGCATTAAAAGCATGTGTGGGTGTGCGCGACGAGTGTTCGCCGTCCAACGTTCGAGCTCTAATCCATCCATTTTCCCCCTGTGTGAGGACTTACTTTCCCACACACGCTGGTCCAGAGCGGTGGCTGTGTAACTGAGCCTCAGGTTGCCATGACAGTGAGTTCAGAAGTCTGGAGACGTTAAGACCCCCTCCGTCGACAGGCTTTTGCCTGCCAAAAACTAGTAAACCCCATTCAGGTACACCGATTACTGCAACCTTGTTTTTTTTTTTTTGGACTCAGGTGTGATCTTAATTTTTATTTTTTATAAATGTTATATCACTTTGATAAAGTTTTGTCTATCCATTTATGGTGTTTTTTTTTTTTATTTATTTTTGGGGTATTTTTGAATTTATTTGCTTCAAAAAGTACCATATTTTCTATGTAAATTATGCTTATTTTATGTTTTATTTTTTTTTTACTTTTTTAAACTACATTAAAATATCATTCCAATAAGTTCTTAGAGCTAAAACCTAAAGATGAAGTGACTTTGCTCTCACCTGGTGTCTTACTTTGGCTTATTTAAGAATGCTCTAAATTACAGTTTATCCCATTCATTTCTATGGGTGCCCATTTTTGACCCAAAAACAAGATTAAGGAGTTTTTTTTCATCCACTTAACATTGTAGAATTGAGTCAAAAAAAACAAAAAGTGTGTGTTCAGGAGGAAAACTTAGGAAAAGTAGCCAAGTCTTGTACCGCTCAGATCAAGGGAAGTATTTTTTTTTTTTTTAAATAAATCAAAACAATTTTGCCCACATTTGTCCAGAATACGGTTTTAGGGATATATTGGACTATATAGTGAGCTCGCCATTTTGTAGTGCTGTCCGAATGTATAGTGATGATTATTATACCCTATATAGTCCACTCAATGTATCCCAGAATGCATTTTGGTCACTATCCACGATGGTCACTAACCCAAGCCCTACATACCATCATGCATTGCATCGTAAAAATGGCGGACGGACGACAAGGGGAGCAGTACGACAATACAAATTTGTCATACAAATGTAAGTTATGTTCTGTCTCGTTTAACTTATGATATGTAGTAGTTTTACAATTTCGTCAGACATGTAGAAATTGTTTGTAAGCACGCACACGTAGTGTCCGAAAGTGTTTTTTCTATTATGCTGGTGAGCTTACTATATAGTGCCCTACTCCCTACCCCCTACATAGGGGGGTACTAGGGAGTAGTGGTTTGAGTGGAGATTTCAGACACAGCCTTTTTATCTCTGATTTATATTTGAGTGAAACGAGAGCAAATTGATTGGATGGTTTGCTATTGGTGGATCTCATGTGAGTGACAGGTGGCCCCGCCCTCACGCCAGTATATCATCACAGAAGAGATGAGCTGTTAGAGTGAGGGGAAGTTATTTTGATTAAAGATTATGCGAGACCATAAATCATTCATAATAAATACTACAATATTCCATTAAAAAAAGGATTGTCAAGTCTGTGTTTATGGTGACTTTAACCACCAGGAAAAAACTACCACAAATACACTCTAAAAATTGCTGGGTTGTTTTAACCCAACTTTGGGTCAGATATGGACAAACCCAGCCATTGGGTTACATTTTTTAATTACATTTTTAACCCAGCGTTTGGGTTTGCCTATATTTCACCCAAAGTTGGGTTAAAATGACCCAGCATGATTCCACAAATCCATGATTGCTAACTTCCTCAGGTACTTTTTTCAGCCGATTCAGCTCATTTTGAGAAATAAATATGTGATGGTATGTTTTTATTGATATTTTTGAACTCTGCATCATCAAATTAGGTTGTATTAGGCTATTATTAGGCAGGGTTTTTTCCCCAATATGTGCACTCTAAAAAATGCTGGGTTGTTTTAACCCAAATTTGGGTCAAATATGGACAAACCCAAATGTAGGGTTAAAATTTTAATTTAAACATTTAACCCAATGGCTGAGTTTGTCCATTTTTGACCCAAAGATGGCTTAAAACAACCCAGCATTTTTTAGAGTGTAGGGCTTTCAGTGTGTGTGTGTGTTACAGGCATGATGTCATCAGCCAACTTTTGTCTCTGGTCTTTTTGTTGGCCCTCATGTCCCCCGCCTCTCCCTTTCTCCTCTTTTGTGTTCTCCCCTTCTGTTTTTTCTCTCTCTCAGTACGAGTGCCCTGCGCCGTTGTGGATTGATTCAACACAGCCGCCCCCTCTCTTTCTCTTCCTCCTTGTGTCTCTCTTCATCTTTGATATGGGTCAGTGATGGGGCGCCCTGGGATGTGCCTGATCAGAAGGCATACTTAAGGAACTGCAGGCACTTTGGCTTGCCACAGAGCGCATTACTGTAGGAGACAATGTTCCAGGAACGTATATATCCAGGAACATGTCTTACTATATTTTGTGAATTTAAAGTGTAACTTTATCTATTTTCAAAACCGGTCGGTTACAATGTCGGTAGTTTATGTTTCCTGGTTCTCCGCGTTACCTGGACTAAGAAATGCACGTTTATTTGTCATATAAACAGCTTTTTATTTTTTTTGCTCCAGGGCTTTTCTTGAAAACTACAGATTATACAGTGCGTTTGCATTTTTGTATCTTCGCCCACGTACAGTTGGGTTTGACAGAGGGTTATTAACCGAACAGTTACTGTCAGGGTAGATCTATCCCTGAAGACTGTATCATACTGTCTGCTCTTTAAACAGCATTATAGTGAAGAGGAAACACTACCTGACAGTGTTTTGCTTCAGGGGGAACTGATGGATCAGCAGTTTCTTTCAGTGTTTCCCCTCCGTTTGGTCTAAAACACTGTGTTCGTGGCCATCCAGTTTGAAATGTTGTCTAAAACCATTTTCAGATTTTCCATCGCATCTATCCGACTCTTTGCAGCCTTTAGCCGCTGCCAACAACGCACTGGATCCTAAGTAACTCACCGCTAAACGTTAACTGTTTGAATTCTTGCACCGGGAACAACACAAGTCGACACCATTATGATTATAAAGTTTGTTAAGAAGTATTTCCTACTAAAGCAAGGCAACATTAAAAAATTTGGAGTAGGATTTACTTGAAAAAACCTTGCTAAACGATCTCACTCAGAAAATGCTAGTAAATTTACAAAGATTTGCCAAGTAAAAACCTAAACATATTTATCAGTAGCTTTAATTAGAAATCTTTACGTTAAATTTACTTGGAATGTGGAATTAAGTAAACTTTACAAAAAATAAATAATTTTAACTCGACTTGTAAAAGGTTGATTAATACCGATTTCCTTTGCCTTTGTATTACACTTCACTAAAACAATTATCTTGAATTTTATTAGTCATTTATAGTATGTTCTTTACTTAGATCATCTAAGTAATTTATATATACATCATGTCAGACTCTAAGCCTTATGTGAATGCAAACACCTCAATACTTGGTAGACAATACACAATGGTGGTAACATTTGATGGATCGTTTTTGTGTTTGAATGTCGTTTTAAGCAAAAAATGTACTCGAAATGTCACAAAATGGCAATTTACTAATACTGAAAACAAAAATCAATGATAAAACAGTGTAAATACAGCTGGAAACCAGTGAAAAATGAGCCTCATTAATTATTCAAGGTCCAGTGCATGATGGGAACCCCAGTATCAGAAAAGTTTAGTAATTTTTACTTAATTTTATTGAGTTGATATTACACTTTCATTTATATTCGCTTGAAATAAGTACTGATATGGAATTTACTTAGTTTTTTTAAATTCTTGCCTGAACTAACTTTTTCAAGTAAATTACATTGGGTTTTTTCACTAGTATTTACTTAACCAAAAAATCATTTTTTACAGTGTAAGTGTATCAATAACAGACTGGTGGGAGTTGCCTTGGACGGCATCAAGTCCAGTGCATTATGGGTGTTGAAGTTTTCCTACCTGTTTGGCTTGAATGTTGTGAAACTTAAAGGGATAGTTCACTTTGAAATGAATATGTTTTAGCTTACCTCAAGGGCATCCAAGATGTAGGTGTCTTTGTTTCCGCAATATTTTCAATTTTGATATTTCGAAGAGCATGCACAGAGAGGTCCAAATTAAACATGATTTAGTGACTCGTAAATGTGAGTACATACTGATGGCCTAAGACACGAAACGAGCGGTTTGTGTGAGAAACTGAACAGTATTTATATTGATTTTACCTCTTGTAATCTGAGATCACTTCCGGTACTTTCCAGCTCTTGCGCAGGCCGAAGAGACAAAAACGATATAAATACTGTTCGTTTTCTCACACAAACCGCTCATTTTGTGTCTCAGGCCATCAATGTGTACTTACATTTACGAGTCATTAAATCATGTTTAATTTGGACTTCTCTGTGCATGCTCTTTGAGGTGGTGACCATAGACCTCCATTATATGACTGACAGAAAAGAACGTTTTGACCTAAAAAAAAATCAAAATTGAAAATACTGCGGAAACAAAGACATATACATATTGGATGCCCTTGAGGTAAGCTAAAACATATCAAAAATTAATTTCAAAGTCAACTATCCCTTTAAATCAGTGTCTTTGCTGATTTATGGAAATTTCTAAAGCTATTCCTGCTAAAACAAGCGAGTTTGTGTTTTGCAGGTGTGATCTCCACAACCTCTCGGAAGCTGGACCGCGAGCAACAGGCTGAGCACGTCCTGGAGGTGAGACGCAAGCTAACCCTCGTTTCACACAAACACACATCAAGGTGTGAGAGCTGCGATCCATGCTAATTTGCCTCCAAATCCAAATTGCAGATCAATTTACTGAGGGACGGGAGAATAACAACAATTTTCACTGATAAACGCAAGATTATCGACGTGTTCTGACTGAATCATATAGATGCCTGTTTGAAATTGGAAATGTTTCACTCAGCCGGTCTGTTTGCATGTTAGTGCGAACGATTGTGAGTGGGCGTTGTGTGTGTTTGTAATAAAAGAGATCTTGTCGTGACAAACGCGTCAATCACATCATGTTGCCTGTTCACCGTGTGATCCCTTGACACCCAAACATTACAAAAGACCAAACGCCCCTTTAATTCATTACAACCCCCTCTCTTTTTTTCTCATTTATTGCTCACTCGCTCACTCTCTTTCTCTCTCGGAGAGACAGATTGAATTTGTACAGGCGTGGCACAGCAGTCTGTATCCGTGAAAGGAAATGAATAAAGTGAATTGAATTAATCGTTCTGTTGTTCCTGCTGAGATGGATGGCGCACACCGTGTCTTTTGTTTTTAATGATATCATTTGAATGTTCCTTCACAGTTCACCACAGTCCCCTGATTGGCCGGCAGCCATGTGCGGCCGTGCTGATTGGTGGATGAGCGATGGGCATGTTTTGCTAATGAAAAGAAAAATGGATAGAATGTCAGAAACAGGAAATGAGAGAAAAGCCGAACATGACTCATCAATCCATTCCGCGGAGAGAGAGAAATTATGTTGATGCTTACAGAATCTCTTTTCGCCTTTCCTGTCCATCTATAATCCGTTTTTGCCGTGGATTGCGAGCTTTTGAACTGTAGTGTTGTGAATGCGAGTGTTTTATCTGTATGGTCACGGCTGTGGTCTTTTGTGTCCAGGTGACCGTATCTGATGGTGGTCCTTCTCCCAGGCAAACCACAGTGTGGGTGGTGATCCAGGTGTTGGATGTTAACGATAACAAACCAACGTTTCCAGAGAAGGTGTACCAGGTCCGTTTACCCGAGCGCACCCGTAAGCAACGGGGCGCTCCTATATACCGCGTCTTCGCCTACGACCAAGACCAGGGCACCAATGCTGACCTCTCCTACAGCATCGTCGATGGAAACGAGGACGGGAAGTTCGTGATCGATGCCAAAACCGGTGTGGTTTCATCTCCCAAAAAACAGTTCACTGCCGGAACCTACGATATTCTTACCGTAAGTCACCTTTGACCCTTGACCTTCTACTAGGAGCTTGTGGCATTGTGAATATAAAATACAGTGTGTTATAGAATGTTACAATAAAATAAATTACAAAAAAGATAATAAAATACAAATAAAATAAAATAAGGATGAGATGAGATAATGAAATGAAATAATGATATAAAAATGAAAAGAAATTAAATTAAATTAAATAATGAATGACATAATTAAATAAAATAATCAAATGAAATGAAATAATGAAATTAAATTATGGAATAATGAAAAAATGAAATGAAAGAATTAAATTAAATAATGATTATGAAATGATTAAATTAAATAATAAAATAAAATTAAATTAAATTCTGAAATTAAATAAAACAAAATTAAATTAAATTATGAAATAAATAAAACAAAATAAAATGATGACATGAAATGAAATAGTGAAATAGGTAATTAAATGAAATGAAATAGAATAGAATAATGAAATGAAAGAATGGAATAATGAAATTATGAAATATTGGAATGGAATGAAAAAAATTAAATTAAAAATGAAATGATGAAATGAAATAAAATAAAGGAATGAAATAAAATTAATTAATGAAATTAAATTAATTAATGAAATGAAATGAAATAAAGTCAAATGAAATAATGACGTAAAATAGACATGAAATGAAAAGTAAAGAAATTAGATAAAATAATATAATGAAATTAAATAAAATACTGAAATAAAATGTCGTAGCTGATCCAAGCTGGTTAATGATATAAAAAATGAAAAGAAACGATTAAATTAAATTAAATAATGAAATGACATAATTAAATAAAATAATGAAATTAAATGAAATAATGAAATATGAAATTAAATTATGAAATAATGAAATAATGAAAAGAAATTAAATAATGAAATGATGGAATAATGAAATAATGAAATGAAAGAATTAAATTAAATAATGATTATGAAATGATGAAATGAAATAATAAAATGAATGAAATAAAATACAATTATGAAATTAAATAAAACTAAATTAAATTAAATTATGAAATTAAATAAAACAAAATAAAATGATGACATGAAATAGCAAAATAATTAATTAAAATTAAATTAAATAGAATAGAATAATGAAATTAAAGAATGGAATAATGAAATGATGAAATATTGGAATGGAATGAAAAAAATAAATAAAATGAAATAATGAAATGAAATAAAATAAAGGAATAAAAAATGAAATAAAGTGAAATGAAATAATGAAGTAAAATGACATGAAATAAAAAGTAAAGAAATTAGATAAAATAATTTAATGAAATTAAATAAAATACTGAAATAAAATGTTCTAGCTGATCCAAGCTGATTAGAGCGATTAGAGCAGCACCAAACTAGATAATATGTTACAGAAATGTGTGTATTTCACCATTTCATCATATTTAATTGTATTTCATTACTTCATTTCATGTCCTCATTTTATTTTGTTGTATTTCATTTCTTAATTTAATTTTATTTTATTTCATTTTATTTTTTAATTTCATGTGTGAGTGTCTGATCAGGACAACAAATAGTCTCACCAGATTCCAAGTAAAATATGAACTCTTCTAGCTCTTGGTAAACTCCCTTAACCCGTACAGCGGCTCAATTCTCTTAATGAGGGAGTTGACATTTCAAAAATGTTCTTCTTGTAACAGGTTTGGTTCTTTTGTTAGCATTCAAAACAAAAAGGTCAATACTGGAAGCATATTCTCCATTTTTAGTTCAATCTTCCACTTCAGTTCAGTTCCTTTAATGTCCGCTTGTGTTCCCGCCGTCCTGATTGGTGCAGGTGAAGGCTGTGGATAATGGACGTCCTCAGCGCTGGGCGACGGCTCGTCTGCACATCGAGTGGATCCGCCGTCCTCCGCCCAGCCCCGCGCCTCTCGCTTTCGACGAGCAGCTTTACAATTTCACCGTCATGGAAACCGACAAAGTGGCGGACATCGTGGGCGTGGTGTCCGCCCAACAGCAAGGCTCCGCCTCCTTGTGGTTTGACATCACAGGTGAGTGGTCGGATGCTTTATGATAATATATGTATGCAATTCAGATTAGTTTAGTTGCAAGATATGCTATTGCTATAAATTTGTGGATTTACACAAAGTTTAAAATGATCATCTTTTTAAATATAAGATGGCTTTTTTAGAAATATTTGTACTTAAAAACATAATCTATAATTTGATTTTAGGATGACAGTTAGGTGAAATTGACTTGTAGATTAATTGGGCCATATGTTTTGATATTACGGGTTAGAGTTGCTGGGAATGTTTGTGGTTCACTGCATGATTTGTGCCGTTGTACTGCTATCTTTTGCCATCCCACGGTCACCATGGCGATTGCTTGCCGCTGTCTGTATCTATGGTGATTTAAGGTTTGTATACTCACAAACAAACGACTAAACATTGAAATAATTAATCGTAAAAAAAGACAAATGGATAAAAAACTGTATATTAAAATATATTCATTATATTATGCATACAATACTATAAAGTGGGTTATTATTAGGGCTGGGCAACGATTAATCGCGATTAATCGCATCCAAAATAAAAGTTTGTGTTTACATAATATATGTGTCTGTTGTGTGTATAACTATTTTGTACATATAAATACACACATATGCATGTATATATTTATGAAAAATGTAGAAAATAGTTATACACACCACACACACATATATTATGTAAACACAATCTTTTATTTTGGATGCGATTAATCGCGATTAATCGTTGCCCAGCCCTAGTTATTATTATTAATAATGTTTTCCAGTGATATTAATACAGCTAAGTTGAATGGCTAATGGCAGTGTAATGTGGAGTGGTCATGTGACGTGTCGCTGTTGATACGGCAGGCCGCGAGAGAGTCGGATTGCAGCACGCATGTGGTTTGGTGTTCAGATACCTTCTGTTTGCTTCAGCAGCACCTGCTCTGCACTCGTTCGCTGCTCTGCCTCTCTTTTCCTCCTCTTCTTCCTTTCCCTTCTCATGCTAGTTTGTTTCTTTTCTCATTCGACTCTTTTTTACTTCTGTTGTTTTCTCTCTCTCTTCCATCCTCTCTTCCTCTGGCTCTCTCTCTCTTTTTCTAAATGCTTCGTATGGGAAGGTCCCCGCGCTTTCCGTGAGATGTTCTATATTCTCCAGACCGCTTGCGGCAGGAACTGTTCTACAGAAGGTATCTTTACCAGTTCAGCCGAACTCTTTTCTTCTTTTCTTTCTCTCTTCTTTCTCTGTCAGTTTTTCTTTCTGCGGTTTCTCTCTCTCTCTCTCTGTCTCTCTCTCTCTCTCTCTGCATGTTCAGGGCTCGACGCTAAGGATTTTTTTGTTCAAATTTTTACTTTCCATGACACACAGACACACACACAAAAAGTTATAGATTTCATTGTTAATGACCCATCTTGAACCCGATTGGTTCAAAGCTCGTTTTATGGGTATAGAGCATCACAGTCCCGCCCACAGTCGATGCCGGAAAGTCAAAAATCAATATAATTTCTCCATTGAAATTTGAGATATAAGCCATTAAAACGTAACCATACATGGTAGACTTAAAACCAGCTACGGCTGTACTAAGCGATTGTATATGCTCATATAAATGCCAAAAGTTCATGGGGCACGAGCCTTTTTTTAAGATTAATGCCTTTTATTCACAATGTCTTGGATAAGTACTTCATTACCCATAATCCTGAACAATCCCACAATCCCACAGTGATGCATCTGATTGGTGTAAGTCGTCACGTATCTGAAACCCCACGGAGGCACGTGAAGACTGAAGATCGCGTAATGACGTAGGGCTAAAATCATTGGTCGCACCTCTGAGACGCCGCCGCTCCATTGGATGTGCAGTTGCCGCAGCTCAGCCAATGAGCGAGCCAGATCCTCAATGTTTTTAGCATGTGCATAAGCTTCGGTAAATCGAGGAAAAGGAGCTTCCCTGCACATTTACGATATAAAATTCCCCGGAGGAAAAAGTTCACGTGGCCGTTGTCAGATTTTGGAAGTCACTCAAAAGGCTCTATCACGATGGCTTTCAGTCGACTTTAGTGAGGCGCGGTGGTTTATGGGAGGAGTAGTTCCTTTGCTCGGAAATGAAAATATGTACACAGGCTTGTATCCTTGACTTTTTTTGGATGTTCTCTTCGTTTTTTCGCTCGAAATGATATGTTGCATGCTTATAAGCTCAAATGGTCGCCTTGCTCTGTTCTGTGATGCGCGTTCGTGACTCTCCTGTTCGAACTTGTTCATCAAATTGAACGAATCTTTTTTTTCCGAGTCAATTCATTCATTTCGTTTGTTGAATGAACCAAATGACACGAAAAAAGATTTGTTCATTTTGATGAACAGGTCCTAAGCTGGGACTCAGCACTTCGAGTTGTAAAGGCTCCGCCCTCTTCTGGAAAGGGGGCCGGCAGCAGCAACTCATTTGCATTTAAAGGGACACACACAAAAACGGTGTGATAAATGATCTAGCGGGGTAATTTGAGCTGAAACTTTAGAAACACATTCATCTTTAAAAACACACGTAGAAATTATAAACTTTCGCGTTGACGCATCGAGCGTCAGTCGGGTCATCACCGAGCAGCCCTTATTGTCGAGCCCTGATGTTTGTCTTTCTACCCGTCTGTTTGTCTCTGCATGTTTATCTCTCTCTTTCTGTGTGTCTATTTGTCTCTTTCAACTCCTGTATTTCTTTCTCTTTCAATCTGTCTTTCTCTCTCTATATATATTTATAAAGGTTCAGCAGAACTGCTGTTGCTCTGTTGCTGTTTAACCATCAGCTAGCTCTGCTTTCCCATCATCCCTCGGTGTTGTGCTGTATTGCTTCAACATTAGTGTTTGGGATGTGAATTTGGAGACGTGCGTCTCAATTCAAATGTGATTTTAAATGTGTGTGTGATATTTTATCGTATGCATGTGTGTGTGTGTGCTAAGTGTTTTCTGTGCAGTGGCGATAATGGTTTAATTCGTGCGCCCATCCATGTGCGTATGTGAGTGTGTGTTTTGTTTACGAGGTACCTAAAACCCTTCTGGCGGTCGTTGAACCAGCCTTATCTTGTGCGGCCTGATTAAATGCGTCATTAAACAGCCAATCGAGTGTGGATAAAGGTCAGGGGTCAACCCGCGGTTAGCTTGACAGACGAGAGAGAGCGTGTGAGGACAGCGAGGGTGGACGGTGATGAATGAAAGGGTGTGTAAGTGTGCGTATGCGTGTGTAAGTGTATCTCTCCACCAGGTGTTACAGCAACAGGCGGCACGAGATGATTAATGCGCCCTGGGTAGAACGAGTGTGAAGAGGGAACATAACTCCCCGCCAAAACACACTTTCACCTCTGTTCACACTCACAGGCGTTCACACACACTGATGCAACCGTGCTGAAGTGATACTTCACCTATAAATGACAGTTCTGTCATTATTCACTCATCCTTGCGTCGTTCCAAAAACGGAGCGCAAAATATTTTAGTCACAATGGTGGAGCTGCTTTTTTGTCATCGAACGGAAGCAAATCCTTTCAGAAAGGGTTGCAGTCTACTGAAATCATGTGATAGTTTTGTGTGAGGAACAGACTGAAATTTAAGTCTTGTTTGTGTTTGTTCACATAGGGATGCACAAATATTCAAATTGAATCTGATACCAGTAAGCTGATAATTGTTTCTATGTTAACGCGATAACCGATAAATGGGCAATATTATAATACTACACTACGTTGTTATATTCCCGTATTTATTATAATTGATTTATCCATGCACATAATTTATTTTAATTTATGTATCCTTGTAATCTTTAATCAAAATGACTTCCCCTCTCTCCCTCAGCTCACGATGGTGTGTGGGCGGGGCCACCTGTCACTCACATGATATCCACCAATAGCAAACCACAACCAACCAAACAATTCCCCACAGACAAAATCAAGTCCCGCCCTACACTTTTAATGGGAAAGAACTCTTTAAAGTCCCCGTGAACCGGAAGTTGCAAACGACTTTTCTCCAGTGTTGTGACGTATTTCCGAGAGAAACGGAATACTAAAAGAGGCAAAATAGTGGGCGTGGCTTTTTTTCCAACTAGCACCTGATTGGATCTAGATAAATGGGTGTTTCATTCTGAAATGAAGGATGACGCAAGTTTGCACACGCTATCAATCAATGCTCGTTAGGTGCTCGCAAACACACAGCAGCTGTCAGTTGGAGGGGCGTGGTTATGGATGTTAAAGGGATACTCCACTTTTTTTGGAAATAGGCTCATTTTACAAATCCCCCAGAGTTAAATAGTTGACTTTTAACATTTTCGAATCCATTCTGCTGATTTTCTTATATTTAGAAGAATATCGGTAACCAGACAGTTTCTGGTCTCATTGACTTCCATAGATGGAAAAAAATATACTATGGAAGTCAATGAGACCAGAAACTGTCTGGTTACTGATATTCTTCTAAACATCAGAAAATCGGCTGAATGGATTCGAAAACAGTAAAACTCAACTGTTTAACTCTGGGGGAGTGGTAAAATGAGCCTATTTCCCAAAAAAGTGGATTATCCCCTTTAAGGAGACACCCAAACCGTAAAGCCTACGTCATCGGGCAAGGTCCTCCAATGAAGAGGGGAGGGGCATTTTCAAAATTTGATTAAAGATTACAAAGCCACATTTGTTTTGTGTGTGGATTGACTTGCATGTATAAATTGTTCACCACAAAACGATCAATTTAGGCAAACAAAGTAAGTATGGTCAATTTTGATTTCATGGGGACTTTAATAGTGTTTTTAATGGTAGTATTCTTAAGTTTTTAATGGCCATAATCTTTTTAAAGGAATACTCCACTGTTTTTTCATATTAAACTATGTTATTCTCTTAACTAAGACGAGTTAATACATATCTCTCTCGTCTCAGTGCGTGCACTCAATCGCTCTGGGGCGCGAGACACTTTGATAGCACTTCACTAGCCCAGTTCATTCAATATGGGCCAAGCAGAGAAGCGACCAAACACCTCCACGTTTTCCCTATTTAAATACAGGCCTAGGACGGTGACACAAAATAAAACGTTGCACTTTTCTAAGCGTGTAAAATGGATACATAAAAACATAATTACATAAATGTTATAAATATGGAATATTAGCTGATAATTAAAATAATAAAAAATAAATAAATTGTGATAAATATGGTTAATAATTGTAATAATTATTTTTATTTATAAATATTGTAATAATGAATAAATATTGTTAATAATTGACAATAATATCTGCCAATAATGAAAATATATTACAAATATGTTAACTATAAAAATAATTTATATATATATATATATATATATATATATATATTAGATTTATATATATATATATATATATATATATATATATATACATATATATATTAGATGAACACTAATATATTGGTAATATATTGTGCATCCCTGCCTTTAAATATGTCACAAAAAGTCATATGGCATCAGGATTGTTTATTATTGCATGCATGTGACTTATCACTAATCGCTGCAAAGTTTAATTATTATATTTTTTTTAGAGCAACAGTTGATTTTAGTTTGTTCACACATACTTATCATATGGACATGTCTATTGTGTCTTCCATGAAAGAAAGTACTGTAAGTCAGGTTTGCTTCAACATGAGAGGGAGTAAATATTCACAGAGTTTACATTTTTGGGTCAACTCTCCTTTATAGTCAATAGCTTATAGGATAGTTTTGCTGTGAGAAAACAGCTGTTTCTTGGATCTATACGTTGTGTGGGATATATAAGAGGCACGTGTTGTGTTAGACAGTTTGTGCACGTACTTGTGTTGAAATATAAAGACAAAGTCTTAGAAAATGGTCACTAAAGTAACACATGCATACATTACACATGTGAGTGTATGTCTCCATATGTTTGTGTGAGTGAATTAGGATGTGTGAATTAAAGTATCTTGCATATGTGTGTCTATTTTGTGTGTTTTATATATGCATTACACACCAGGATGTGTTATGTTTGTGTTGCATATGTATATTGCGTGTTTGCTGTGTGTGTGTGAATTGGGTATAATTAGGAAATCCCATTCTACTTATGTTTTGCACTTTAAAACCCTGTAGCGCCCCCGTTTGGTGTATATGAGTATTGCATTGGTGTGAAAGTGTGTGGTTGTGTGTGTGTGTGTGTGTGTGTGTGTGTGTGTGTGTGTGTGTGTGTGTGTGAGGGATATGGAGAGTTCTATGGAGAGTTTAATCATGTTGTCTCTTTTCACGTAAGGCGGTGACGTGGACAGTATGTTTGACGTTGAGAAAGGTGTCGGTACTATCGTCATCGCTAAACCTCTGGACGCCGAGCAGCGATCGTTTTACAACCTCACTGTGGAGGTTACAGATGGGACGAATATTGCGTACACTCAGGTAAACACACACACACACACACACACACACACACACACACACACACACACACTGACAAAAAACAAACAAACATAGTTAACTTTGGACACAAACATGACTACTCACAATGCTCCGTTCCACAGCATGATACTAATAAAAAAATGTATATTATTTAATATTTTGTATAAATATTATATATATATATAAATATATATATATGCAATTATATGTAATCAGAATTTCTCTCCACTCGTACACACCAATATGTTATATTCATTTTATATATTAATATAATTGATATGTATAGTTATATTAATTACTATTTATATACTTATATTATTCAATATTTATACTGTCTCATATACCAATATTTTATATTAATATTATGTTAATATCATTCATATTTTATTTATATAAATTAATATTAAGGTATTATATTACATATTATTTATAGTCAGCATGTCTCTCCTCTTATACACCAATATTTTATATAATATTATATATTATAGAATAATATGATTACTATTTTATTTATATACATGTTTATTTAAATTATTTAATATTTATAATCAGCATTGCTTTCTACTCATATGTCAAACAATATATATATATATATATTGTTTATTTATATAAATGTTTGTTTATATTTAATTCATTAATTAACAGCATATTTAATTCATTCATATATATATATATATAATCAACATTGCTCTCTACTCATATTCCAATATTTTCATATTAATATTATAGTGTTATTATAATTAATATAAATATTATTCATTCATATTCTTTTCATATTCAAATATTTATATTCATTCATATTTATAATCAGCATTTTCCTTTTTTTTTTCACTGAGCTTGTGATTTTTCATTAGAATTTGAACAGACACGATCTTAAAAGGCAGCAGAATGATTATTCTTATTTTTTAGGCACTTTGATATGCAGGGAAGCAGGTTTTGAATCAGTCTTACTGTGTGTGTCGTCCTGACAGAGGCTGTTTAGTCGATGATTGATGCTGATGTTTGATGCTGAGAGTTTGATTGATAGCGTCTGTCATCGTTCAGATTGCCTATCCCTGATGTCAAGGTCCCATCGGATTGATCTCTTCGTTGCCATAGATACGAGTCTTCGCGGTGTAATATGTGCGTGAAGGTCAGAGTTTAAAGGACACGATCAATCCCTAAAGTAAAAAAAAGTGAGAAAAAACGAATGATCGATCCGTAGTAGAAGCTGCCGCAGTGTTTGGGGTGAAGCGCTGTCACATATTCAGTTATTCACTCACTAGTAAATTAACATATACACACTCGTGCGCTAGAACGTAAACACAAAAGAGAACTATTTCAATTCAATCAGCTGCTTATTAAACAAGACTTTCGCGGACACACTGTCTGTTACACACAAAAACGACACACACACACACGTGAACAAAGAGAGGGTCAGAGAAGGGGACAGGAAATGATGAAAGCGATTGTATTCTTCTCGAAGACTTGTTCTCTATTTAGAAATCACCATCTCTCACTTACTTTCATACACAAATACACATGCGACACACACACACACACACACACAGATGGATCTCAGCGTGTCTCCACAAGGGTGAGTGTGAGACGGAAGTACATGTCAGTTATTACTTTATAATTAGATCAGCCAATGCAGTTCGATCACAGACTCACTCACACACGCACACACACACTGCGTGCTCCGACGACAACTGTGGCTATTTATACCAGTTAGCGACAGCTGAGTACTTGCGTCAGACAATTGCATTTCAGGCAGCGTTCAGCATTCAACTTCGATTTGTTCAGACTCTCATGCTGCGTGTTTGTGAACAAGTCATGTGACTTTCTGACTTGTAAAATCATTTGTTGCTTAGATGTGTTGAAACGTGCACACTGTGGAAGGTGAATCATTCAGAATATGACCATGAATTTAAGTGTCATTTTAGTGTTATTTCTATATTATTCTATTATGTATTCATATTTGGAATGAACTTTTATTTTTTTAGATTTTCAGTTTTAACTTTATTTTTAGTAATTGTGTTTCTCTTCTCATTTTATTCGTTTTTTTTTTATATTTCTAATTAGCTTTATAATATTCACTTTAGTTTTAGCAATTTTAGTATTTCAACTATTTCAGCATTTCTATCTTTCGTTTAAGTTTTTCATATAATATAATGTTTTTTTTTTACAGCTTCTGAAAGCAGTTTTTAATAGTTTTAGACAACACCGGTGCCAAGAAAGTACAATCGATTGCAACAGTCGGGTTCCGGAAGTAAAAACTCCATTTACTCTCTCCATGAGGAAGTTGATTTTTAACATAACTTCTACACTTTTAAAGACCTGCTGTGAGTTATGAGTTTTCTTCTGCTGATAATTTTGAAATAATCTTGTTTAACCATGGAATTCCTGGCAAAAACTACATTACCCATGATGCTTTACAGAAAAGTACACCAATCAGAGAGTGGAAAAAGTCTGATTAGCTCCACCCACTCCCATGAAGCACTGCGAATGACGTAATCAAATCGATCTCTCTACGCTCTCAAAATACTTAAGCGTCTGTATAAATATGCATATTTACAATAAACTTAAAATATATTGTTTGTATATAATCAAGATTTTACATTCCTCCATCGTTTGTAATTCGATGCTGGTCGCAATGCTTCATGGGATTGTAGTTCCTTCCCTCACTAAAGCCGTTAAGTACACAGTCTTGTCCCTTTGTCTTTTTGTCCGAACCATAACTCTTTAACAGACCATTTTAAAATCCCAATGGGAAAAAATTAATGGAAAAAATACTTCCGGGACCAGCGCTGCTAAAACACGGGACGGGCACTTTTGGACTATATTTCATGTTGACTTCCTGTGTTTTTTACAGGTCCAGATTACTGTTTTGGACAACAATGACAACCCGCCAGTTTTTTCCCAGCCCACCTATGACATCACAATCACAGAGGACACGGCCCCGGATACAGAGGTGGTCCAGGTGTTGGCATCGGACCGCGACGAGCGTCACCGCTTGACCTTTAGCCTCCAGAGCAGCGTTGACCCCAGCAGCATGCGCCTCTTCCGCATCGACCCTAACAGCGGCGTCATCTACACGGCTCGCAGACTGGACCACGAGAGCCGAACACAGCACATCCTTACCATCATGGTAATCAGACAAGGCTTTCTTCATAATCGCATAGATATTATGAAAACACTGCTCAAAGGTTAAGGTGACATTAAAGGAGTAGTTCGCTTTAAAAAAACTTTTGCTGATAATTTACTCACCCCCATGTCATCCAAGATGTCCATGTCTTTCTTTCTTCAGTCGAAAAGAAATGAAGGTTTTTGATGAAAAAATTCCAGGATTTTTCTCCATATAATGGACTTCAATGGGAACCAAACAGTTTCAGTGCAAACTGTTCAAAGGGCTTTAAACGATTCCAGACGATGAATAAGGGTCTTATTAAGCGAAACGATCGCTCATTTAAAAAAAAAAAAAAAATGACAAAGTTTAAGTTTTATAAGTGCAAATGGTCGTCTCGCTCTGTTCTGTGACACTCGTTCCTGACTCTCCTGTTCGAACTCGTTCATCAAAATGAACAAATCTTTTTTTGTGTCGTTTGGTTCAACGAGCGAAACAAACTAATATACTCGGAAAAAGATTTGTTCACTTTGATAAACAAGTTCGAACAGGAGAGTCACGAATGCGCATCATAGAACAGAGCAAGGCGACCATTTGAGCTTATAAAACTTAAACTTTGTTATTTATTTATTAAATGAGTGATCGTTTCACTAGATAAGACCCTTATTCATCGTCTGGAATCGTTTAAAGCCCTTTGAACAGTTTGCACTGAAACTGTCTTTTGGACCTTGAACCCTTTGGTTCCCATTGAAGTCCATTATATGGAGAAAAATCCTGGAATGTTTTCATCAAAAACCTTTCTTTTCGACTGAAGAAAGAAAGACATGGACATCTTAGATGACATGGAGGTGAGTTTTTTTTTTGTTTTTTTTTAAAGTGAACTACTCCTTTAAGGACTTTCTTTAGTTAATCTGTTTTCAATATAAAGTATAAAGACTTGGACCAGTAAGCAGCCTCGTAGATAAATAGATATAAACTTATTTAATTCGATTGTTGAGAGAACAGTATGACTCTCAGTAGATATATAAAACAGGAGGTATTTGATTAGTGTTGGTAGCGTGCATCCCTCCTCTCTCTCTCTCTCTCTTTAAAGCTCTCCATGCTTGAGTGCAGGTATGACAGGAAGAGGAGATTGCTCCTTGTGCTTTGGCAGCCGTCACTAGTTTAATGTTGTCTGCACCTGTGTCGTTTCTCCACTGTGATCTAATTATTGATCTGATCTGTATCACTCCTTGGTTCCGCACTCCCCTGACGAGGGTGACAGACAGTGAGTGTCATATCTAATAAGCATATGGATATTCCTGCTGCCTGCAAACAGCTGAAATTTGTTATTATAATCCAGAGAGAGATGTTATCCACTCCGTCTGGCAGTGAGCGAGTTTGGTGTGTGTGTGTGTGTGTGTTGCTCTTTGTTTGTGTTGGACTGTCTCTGTCTCAGACAGGGAATTCATTTTTGTTTCTAACCTACCTCTTTCTTTATTTCTCTATCATTCTTGCTTTTTATTTTCCATACTAGGTGAAAGATCAAGAGTTCCCGTACAGACGTAGCCTTGCTCGTGTCCTGATTGGTGTGGAGGATGTGAACGACCACGCCCCTCTTTTCACCATGGTGATGTATGATGGACAGGTGTATGAATCAGCTGCACTGGGATCGGCCGTTCTCACTGTGACCGCACTCGATAAGGACAAGGGCCAGAATGCACAAATCAGCTACAGCATCGACTCAGGCATGCACACGCTCACATACACTACCAAAAGTCTGGACATACTTCACTAAATGGACACACTTAACTCAATTTGTCTGGTGGTATATTAATAATACATTTAAATTGTGTTTACATATAATTTATTAGTAATTATTTTTATTTTTATTTGCTTTATTGAATTAATCTGTGCTTATGAGTATGACTTGGACCAGTAAACATAGATCAATTGACATATAATTCATAAGATATGAATGTCTATTAAATATTAATATTAAAAAATATTAAATAAAATATTATTTTATTTTTAATGGATAAGTTGGACTGTGAAGCGAAAACCAGCATACATGGATCAATTTCTGATGAAGCTGAAAAATAGTTTTTATTTAAAGTTTTTTTTTTTTTGGTCTCAACATATTTCCCATTTATAATTTTTTGGTAATGCTTCCTTTTACAGTACGGTACTTACGTGTATTACCTAGAAAGTACTGGCTAATATAAGGTAAGTACATGGTTTAGGGGTAGGTTCAGGGTTAGTACCTAGTTATTACCCAGTAATTATAATTACTATAATACGTACATAGTAATACATGGGTAACAGGACTGTAAAAGTAAGCGTTACCAATTTTTTCCCATAATTTTAATAACTGTATATTTGTAAGATCATATTTTTCTTACACTCTTTTTTTTTTCTCTTTCAATGTAGGGAATACAGGGAACACATTCCGGATTGATCCTGTTTTGGGCATCATCTCATTGGCTCGGGAACTGGAGCTGTCAAACATTGGTCACTACGTCTTGTCGGTCAAAGCAACTGATAATGGTTCTCCAGCACTATCATCAACAGCTGTCGTCCGAATCGCGGTCACCTTGTCCGATAATGCTGGTCCCAAGTTTCCCCAAAGTGAATATCAGGCGGAGATATCAGAGGGTGTCGCCATAGGAGCTTCAGTCATCACAGTAAACGCTTTAAGTCTCTCCACCCTTACCTACGATATTCGCCACGGCAATGGTCATAGGACATTCCGCATCAACCAGTACAGTGGAGTGATCACTACACAGAAATCATTGGACTTTGAGACAGTTTCTACCTACGTGCTAATAGTCACTGCAAGCAACATGGCTGGACAGGCCTCAAATGCTACAATAACAGTTACAGTTCTGGACCAAAACGACAACGCGCCGGTTTTCCAACAGCTGCATTATCATGGAAGTATCAGTGAAGGCGCTGGGCTTAACAGTGTTGTGCAGAGTGACAACGGTCAACCGCTGGTCATACGAGCAACCGATGCTGACCGCAACCATAATGCCCTGTTAGTTTACCACATCATGGAAGAATCTGCTAGGCGCTTCTTTGCAGTAGATGCCGGAACTGGATCCATTAGGACAATTGCCCCACTTGACCATGAAACCACACCTACATTTCAATTCCACGTTAACGTCCGAGACAGTGGGAATCCTCAGCTCTCAGCTGAGCGACCTGCAGAAGTGACTATTGAGGTGCAAGATGTTAATGACTGCCCACCTAAATTTTCCCAGGATTCCTATGAGGCTGTCCTTCTGCTCCCAACTTATGAAGGTGTAGAAGCCCTACAAGTTTTTGCTTCTGATCCCGATGGTAATGGCCAGTCAGAGCTCACCTACTCATTAACAGACGGCAGCTTGGAACATTTCAGCATTGAGCCAAGTACTGGACTGTTGACTGTGAGAAACAGTACATTTAGCAAAGAACGGTTTCGCTTTAACATCCGCGTTTCAGACGGACGCTTCTCTAGCACTGCTCTGGTTACAGTCCTGGTGCATGAGGCTCTGGACAGTGGACTGGCTTTTACTCAAAATGTCTACAATTCCAACATTGAGGAGAACAATGGCAATATAACAACAGTTGCTGTGGTTACAGCACTAGGGAACAAGTTGAATGAACCACTGCGCTATACTTTGCTGAATGCAGGCGGGAAATTTCGCATCAGGCCAACTTCCGGTGCCATTGAAACTGTTGGAGTCCCATTGGACAGGGAGGAGAAGGAGGAATATGGACTTTTGGTACAAGCGGGACGTGAGGAAGATCGTCTCCGTGTTGCAAGGGCGCTGGTCCGAGTTCAAGTCACTGATGTCAACGACAACGCTCCAGTTTTTGTTGGATTGCCATACTATGCTGCTGTGCAAGTAGAAGCAGAGCCAGGGACTGCAATATTTCGAGTGACGGCAGTGGACCGAGACAAAGGACAAAACGGAGAGGTCAGCTACTTTCTACAGGATGAACTGGGACATTTCGAGATGGACCGTGTGAGCGGCGAGCTTCGCTTACGAAGAGCTTTCGAGGCTGATCTCTCCAGTGTGGAATATCAGGTTCTGGTGTTCGCCCGTGACATGGGAACACCACCTCTGTCCTCTTCAGTCACCTTTCCTGTTACAGTGGTAAACAGAGCAATGCCAGTATTCGACCGGCCATTCTACTCTGTAAAAGTGAGTGAAGATATACCAGTATGGACTCCAATTCTGGGAATAAATGCGAGCAGCCCTGAAGGCCAGAGTGTCCTTTACACAATCAAGCATGGTGACCCTGGAACGCTCTTCTCCATTGGATTTGACACGGGGGTCATTAGTGTCATCTCTGCCCTTGACTATGAGACCAGCCCTGTCCACAGACTCATTGTTAGAGCAACGGACTGCCTCACAGGTGCTCGTGCAGAAGTGGATGTTGAAGTTACTGTTTTGGATGTCAATGACAACCCTCCAGTGTTCGAGCGGCCCTCGTACAAAGCCGTCATTTCAGAAACTGCCATGATTGGCACTGCGGCCTTGCAGGTGCTCGCAACAGACAGCGACTCCAAGAAAAACGCAGCGATACGGTACCAAATCATTCCAGACCATACCAACAGCACTGACCACTTCCACATTGACAGCAGCAGTGGTCTAATTCTGACCGCTCGCTCCCTGGACCATGAGACCATCCAGCGTTATGTGTTTCTTGTCAAGGCAACAGATAATGGCTTTCCCCCATTGAGCAGTGACGTGTGGGTCACAGTCGATGT